CTTGAAGGATGCTGATTCAGCATCTCCCCAGTGCCCCCCAGGATCCTCTCGTTCAGCCCCGGGAAGAGGAGGGACTAACGGTTCTTGGGTGCTCGCCCCCCAGCCGCTGTTGCCAGTGCTGAACTCGCCTCAGATCCAGCTGACCTGGATCCGTCTGTCTGTCCCCCGTCGCTCTTTCACTTTCAAAGGTTGTCTGGCTCTTTTGATAGAGGCACATCAAAGAGTGGGTGGGAGTGTTCACCACCAAGGGAGGGTCAGGATGGACGATGGATGCTTTCACCAGAGCCTCTGGATGTCAAAAAGATTACGAAAGTGACAGCTTGGAAGGCGAGGAACGAGCTTTGTGATTTGTGGTCCTCTTAAACCTTTAAGATCTTGACAGGATTTTACATGAAAACTGCAAGGACTTTCCCTCTGCTTGTATGTCGTGAAATATCCCATCCCTTCTCTAGGCTGGTCTTGCAGCTTGTTGGCTAAAGGAAACTCCTTACAAGATGAAAGGGGCTTGTGCTTGGCTGATAGGGTCTAGCCATGGGCAGGATGCTGCAGGGGGAGTGCTGCCTTTGCCAGGGCAGCTAAAGAGGGCTCTGCCCCAGGAATGAAGTTGATCTTTGAAACTTTGCAACAAAATAACTCTCCTTTCAAAAGCTTAAAAAATAGCAGCACACTTGCTTCTCACTGGGACTCAATCACATGGCAGGCTTGGGTAGGGGAAGGCTTGGGGAGGGAAAGCTTGGGACACTTCAGAGTGGACCAGTCCAAAGGCAAATGTTTGAGGGTTTGCTTCTGTAATGAAACCCTTGCAAGGAGATGTTATGACTGTGTAGGATTAGAATAGGAGTGTAGGACTAAAAGCAACCCCTTTGTCGTTAGGCCAGAGTTTTGCAATCACGGGTAACCTAGTGATTGAGTTGAATCCAGAGGAGCCACAAGAACATTCACGCTGTGCCTCCATACCTGGCGGTGAGCCCCCTCAAAAGCCATTATCCACTTTAAATAGGTCTGAAAATGTTCAAAATCTGAGAGAAAGAGATGAGGAGAAGGCAAGAACATCTGAGCATCTTGCTGCTTTCTTTTCCCTGGTTTGATCTCTTTCCAAAATAAATAGTTCTTGGTTGGCTGAGACCAAATAGTCCCAGGAATTTTGTTTTCCCATCTGTGTAATAAGCCTCTGCAAATAAAAGTTTGTGCTTTCCTGATCTCTATTTATCACTCCACTAACTATTCAAATCTCCAACACCATCTCTGGGTGGTTTCCTACGAATTTTCTGGTGCCAGAGCAAAGTGTTGTGGGGCAGGTGGGGAGGAGAGGCAGGTTGATAAAAATCTGTACCTCATCGTTGCTTTTCCTTGTTGAGGTTTTCTCAGAGTAAACTGTTCTTAACTTATTATTCTTGATTTCAGCACAGTCATCTGTAGCGTGGCTGCACTTAGAAAAGTACAAGATGCTTTCCAACTGGTGTAAGAAAGGGGTCTTTTTTACAGGGTTTAGATAATGCCTTGAAAGGGTTTCAGGGCATGGAATGGGAAGATGCCACAAGACATGGGTGGTGTTGATGGACTGCATCCTTTCTCCTGGAAGAGAATTTCAGAGTTGATTTACTGGTCTTCTGTACTCCAGGTCTTTCCAATGGTCCTGAAGCAATGGAAGTAGATGGTCTCCAGGAAGTCCCCCTCTGTAGCTGTCGAATGGAAACCCCCAAAAGCAGAGAGATCACCACGCTAGCCAACAACCAGTGCATGGCCACGGAGAGTGTGGATAACGAGGTAGGAGCCTGTCTTTTAGCTTCTTGCAGACTTACCTGCTGAGGACAAGACATAAAGAATAAAATGCTGTGCCGGGAACATGTGTCGGGTCACACAGGGACTCTGCAGCCTGCTAGACTGGGAACCCACTGGTGCGTGGGAATGGCAGGGCAAACATCTCGCTCGCTAAGCTGAGGGCTCCAGCACTCTGTGCGTATCGCACAGTTGGGTTGAAGCCACTCAGAAGGGAGGAGATGGCAGTTGGAGAGGCACTGGGTGGATCTCTCCTGCTTGTCCTGGCCTGTGCAGCTGGATCAAATTGATGTAACAGGCACACTTCAGGCCAAGTGGGCTAAAATACATTAGCATGCAGCAAAGTGAGAAAATCCAATCAGAGGAGGCTTGGAGCTGGTTTCCCATGACTGCGAAGGAGCTGATGCAAACCTTTCAGTAGCCAGCTCTTGAGTTTCGGGAACTTGGCATGCCCTCCGCCAGCTCAGTCTGCCCCAGCCTTCTTCCCTCCTCCTCCCCCAAGAGGCTTCTGTTACAAAGCTTCCTATGTCCTGGCAACCCTGCGCAGCCTCCAGGTCTGGCTGACTGAAAACGATTGCACTTGATGCCTTTCAGTTGATCACAGCTGGGCTAGTTGGGCTCTACTGGTTCCAGAAGTGTGGAAGTAAGTGGCAGAAGTGACTCCCTCCTGGAGTCTGGAAAGTGAGACTGCAGGACAGGAACACACTCGGTAGATCCTCCTTTTACTGGGAGGCACTTGGGTTTCTTTTAAGCTTCAGCTGAGCCGCAGTCACACTGCAGCACTCTGATACTTGCTGGTAGTAGGACAAGGAGTGAGGATATCCCTAGTTCTCCTGTAGGATCCCAGGAGAAGGATGGATGGAGGGAGAAAGGGATAATCAGGTTTGCAGCCCAGCTCTGCTTCTGTTAGTACGTGTTGGTACCTATAGAGAAATGAATTTCCAAAGAATGGCAAAATTGATTCCTTAAAGAGAATGCCCTGGAGACTTACAGGAGAGAGGGGGACCCCAGCGTTTCTAAATAAACAAAAGGTATATGAAAGAGTTCCTTCTCATGTACACGGTGGTTTGACAGTTCTGTCCCTGGATAAATCAGAGAGGGGAATAGCAAAGGCCATGCTTTCTGTTAGATTCTTTTTCATAATGGGATAAGTGACTCATAGATGTTATAAGGATATTATACGTGTGAATAGTGGGTTCTCCAGACTGTCATGTCCTTGGAGAATATTATAAATAGTTATGAGCACCCTGCTGCATTCTCTCATGGCTGGAAAATAGCAATTAATCATTTTGTACTTTTTTAGAGTTTCTAACAAATAATATAGTGTGACATAATAATGCAGGGACTTTCTCACAGGGACAGTGCAGCTTTTCACATGTTAGTCAGATTTCCTCAGCTCATAAGTAAAAATCAATGGAAGGGTCCCCTCCTGCAGCCCCTGGGGTCTGTGTGTTAACGGTGATCAGTCTAGCCAAGGTGTCACAGGTAGACTTTGCAGCTGGAATTTGGGTAAGTTGAATCAGAGATGCTAGAGGTAAATGATAAGCCTAGGTTAAAATCCGTTCTCTTTTTCTGTAGGGGTGTTGATTCTGCAGGAGGAGTGGAGTTTAAAAAAATTAGAGAGAAAGTCTAGTTTTGTCGAGGAAAAAGCAGCAAATCAAACCTCAGCTAGACCAGAGGTACAGTCTGTTGGTGATGAGCAGGCACCGTGTTCCTGACTGACTCCTCTGCTCATGGTGGCAGTGCACGGTCAACCATGCACAGATTTCGGTAGGGACATTTCCTTGTAGCAGCCTTTCATGTTTATATTTCTAGTTTATAAATGTCCTTTGCCAAGCATCTGGGGAAAGCAAGGTTATTATCAAGAGGAACTTACAGAACCCAAACAGTGTTGCGTCATGCTAGCAGGTGGCAACTGGGATGTGAAAATGTCGTAGATGTATGAATGGGGGCAGCAGAAGGAAGCGCTGTTCCTTCTGACGCAGCAGAGTGAGTAACACTGATTGGGAAAAGTGAATCCCAATTACGGAGCCTGCTGTCATTAACAGAACAACGTGGTGCACGAGAAGACAGCTTTTTAAGCCCAGAGCTATACATTGGTGAAATCCTTCGGAAAACATGCTCATAATGTGACTGTAGTTGAGCTCTCATGAAAGCCTGGCTGTTCATCCCTGTGGTCTGGGCAGGGGCCAGTGCTGGAACCAGTATAGACGATAACTTAGCTGGCAACGAAGAACAATTATTTTTCCCTTTATCTTCCTGTGACTTACACTTTTGAACAGTAACAAGATTTAGTGCTTATGGTCTTGTTCTCTTGGTCACCGACACCCGCTAAGCGTATGTTGTGTGAGTCAGGCCCATGGGACTGCCCCTTCTGCGGCTGCTTGGCTGTTGCCTATTTCCAGTTACGATTTTTTTTCTTGCAAGGAACAAACAACTCAGGGTCCACATGCATGTTAGTTAGTAAATGATGCATTTCTTCTTGTGAGAGCAGCTTTCACAGCTTCCTGCTGCACTGCTAATGCTATCTGGCACACATCTGAATTACTGTGAAAAAGCCAGGGCTCATCAAGGCAGTGTGCAAAATCTTCCTCCGCACAAGCACAGAGAGTGTTTTGGTCTCCAGTAATTTCATTTCCTTTAATTTCTCCTGTTCCAGCTGGGCCGATGCACAAACAGTGTGGTTAAGTATGAACTGATGCGCCCGTCTAACAAAGTCCAGCTTTTGGTGCTGTGTGAGGACCATAGAGGGAGGATGGTGAAACACCAGTGTTGCCCTGGCTGTGGATACTTTTGCACTGCAGTAAGTCCGTGCTCTCAATCTAGGGAAGGGGGTACCTGTCGCAGTAGCTGGAAGAGCTGAAGGTGGAGATGGTACCAAAAGGGGTTTACTGACTTCCTGGCATCAACTCCACCTCGTTCCACAGCACGTCAGGTGGTGTTTTCAACAGGAATGTGTGTGAGGGTAGCTGCAATTGTCACCTTTATCTTCCTGGAGACCCCGAGGGGTGCTATTGAAGGGTTTTCACTGGGGTTTCACATGGTGGAAGTCTTGCCTTAGGAATTTCTTTGGAACAAGAGGTTTTTTTCTTTCTCTGTACAGATCAATCACATCAAAAATTGTATTAGCTTGGTTTGTAAATGAATCTGTGTACACAAGAGTGGTTCTGTCCCCCCGCCTGCTCATGAGGGTTTAGACGGGGAGCCTGAGTGATGGCACTGGAACAAGGCAGTGTTTGAGATCTCCTCCTGCTTCTTCCACCTCTGCCGCTGAGGCTTTTAATAGCGTTGGTCCAGTCCTTCAAATCATCAGCATCCTAGTTTCCCTGTTGGTAAAGCTGAAAAACACCAATTGAGGGCCTCACAGGGTGATGGGGAGGCTTAATTGTCTGGTGCTAGTGTTCTTCAAGATGACTCAATGAAAGATGCTACAGCAGTCGCAAGCATTATTGTAATTGTAATAGATGGAGCCATCCTGGGTTTTCATGCTGAGTCAAAGATCATTTAAAAGATAAAATCCTCAAAACCCTTAAAGGCATTTTGCAAAGCTGAAATAGAGTTAATTAGATTGCTTGGGAGGACCGTGAATTCAGGAGAAGAGTGGGTTTTTAACTTGCCTTTCCTTACATGCTCTTACATCTCTGAGTGACATGTTGTAGCTCACACAGGTGAATCTGGGAGTGTTTGCCTGTGCTATCCATCACTAATAACACAGAGCACAGTAGGGCTTCAGGTAGCACTAATATCACAGAGCAATGAATTTTGGGGTACCTTCAGTTCAGTTTGGAGGACTTTGCTGGAAAGGGAAAACAGTTTTAAGAAAAGTTGCCCAAGTTTGTTGAATGAGCAGTCAGCCACATTCTTGGGGTTAAACAGCATAGGGGGCTGGTCCAAGCAGAGAAGTCGCATGCTTTAGGTTACATTGGGGTTAACAGCTGATTTAATCATATTCATGTAGGTCCTTGAATGGTTTGTGCACAGCTTTGTTAGGTAGTTTTAATGCTGGGTCAGCACGCAGGTCTGAAGTTTTCTTTTGCAATTTTGGGGGCGTCCTTACAGTACACTGGCACTTCTAGAAACATAAGCAAGAACTTCAAGCGTTAGAGGAAAGAGCTGGAAATTGGGACTTCTTGGTTCTGTTTCCCAAGCGCAATTAAAAAACTTGCTTTGCAGTCCCTAACCAAGTGAGTTTTTTCCCCATTACCTTGATTTTGTTCTCTTCTAAAGAAGTGGCAGTGCTTGCTTACTGTATTGGAAGCGCCAGGGACAAGAGAGGTGATGAATGAAGTATTTAAGAGATCTGCGGACGAAGCATGTAGAACGGGTAAGGCACGTAGTGACCAAGGTGTGAATTTCTTCTCTGTGGTTTTTTTAGGGCACTTTCATGGAGTGTCAGCCGGAGAGCAGCATCTCCCACCGTTTCCACAAGAACTGTGCCTCCCAGGTCAACGACATGAGCTACTGCCCACACTGTGGGGAAGAGGCCTCCAAGGCAAAGGAGGTGACAATAGCAAAAGCAGACACAACCTCAACGGTGTCGCTGACCTACGAACAGCAGAAACCAGCGGCTGTGGAGGGAAGGGCTGACACCACGACGGGGAGGTGAGCTTGGGAGCGCATGGCCATCTCAAACCTCATGCCAGACCGTGCTTTGCATTTGAACGCTTGTGCTCCTCCTGATGGAGCAAATTGCTTTCTGGTCCTGCTCTGACAAGCCAAACTCAGCTGCAGGAATCTGCAAGTCTGTTTTGTGTTGCTTGCTGTGTCGGAGAAGAGCGCGGCAACCACAGGGTGAACTGGGGCAGCGGCTGTGAAGATAGGAGGGGTTTAGGAGTTAAAACCATTCCTTCCACTTATTGTTAGGAATGGAGTAATAGTGGAACAAGTTGATGTTGCCAGGTCTGCTCAGTGACAGGGAAATTCATGCAGTACCTAGCTGTAGCTCCTGACTTGCACCAATGGGCACAAGTATAAAGAGAGGATGAAAACGCAGAGGAAAACACAAATCAAGCCATCCCTGCATTGAACAATGCTCCAACTTCCCGATCTGATCTTGTTCTGGTGGCTTTTATGACTTGCCCCATGTTCCTGGGTTTCCTATAGCACAGAGTACGTCAAAATGTAATCATAGAGCAGTGCAACTCCTTTTTGGGGCAAGTTCTTACCGAAAAGGCTGTAAAATATATTGGTTTGTGTTTCGATTTCATTTATGCTTATCTGTATTTAAAATCCATTTCCTTTCCTTCTTTGGCATAAGGTACACACTGTTGTGTATTTTTAATGGTTGTGCTTTGGCTGTCTCTCATTTTTTCTCTTCAGTGGCACTGGGATGCGGTTGTCAGAGGAAGACAAGCCAGAAAGTTCAGCTGCTGAGGGGTTTGACATGGCTGGGTCTTCAGTTTTTCCAAAGCCTACTACTAGCCTGACCCAGGGACCAGTTAAAGAAACTCTGGAAAGTGCCCTGATTGCCCTGGACTCTGAAAAGTAAGAAGACGACCGCTGGGTCTCTCCAGTTCCTAGCAAAGTTGCTTAACGTAGAGGAAACTGAGATTTAGCTTCTCTGGATTTTGACCCCATTCAGATCTTTTTTTGTTCACTTCAGTCATATTTCACCCTCAACAGATAACCGATTCAAGAGAACAGTACAGTTCTGAATGTCGTATTGATTTGTCTGGAGGATTTAGTTTTTCACTAGCCCTCCAACTGCATCTGTAACTACTAGGAGTTCCCGTTCACAGTAGTAAGACCCAGAATTTGTTAATGAGCGGCACTGAATAGATACTGCCCTCATTAGAACAAGGCTGTCTGCGGTTGGAGCTGGAAGTTTTAAGAACTCCTTCTGGAGACTTCTTGTTCTTGTGTTTTGCTGTCACTCTGGAGCTGTACCATAGGAACAGACTTTGTCGTGCACATGGGATAGCAATGGGGTGGGGTGAAATGCCAGGAGTGTTCTTCAGTGAGTATTAATTATGCCTCTTTTCCCCACTGCTGCAGGCCCAAGAAGTTACGGTTCCATCCAAAGCAGTTGTACTTCTCTGCGAGGCAAGGAGAGCTGCAAAAAGTCCTGCTTATGTTGGGTAGGTGGCTCCTTCCCAGGACATTGCGTGTCTGGCAGTACTCCCAGCTCCTGCCAGGCAGCTGCCAGAGTCCAGTTCCCAGCATGGCAGCACGTCATATTCCCCACTGCCCCTTGTGAGTGGAGTTGGAGGAGAAAGCCACTTTTGCAAGTGATGTGTCATTGGAAATGGCTTCATCCTTCTGTGAAATGTGGACCTGCTCCCAACTTGTTTCTGCATTTGGGCACGGTTTTATCCAGAGAAGCTGTTTCTGTCCCCAAATGACCTACATGTGATTTTTCCAGTCTGACAAAACTTTTCCTGTCCATGCAATGGGATAGCTGGGTATTTGCATCCAGTAGAGGTAAAAAGATGGGAGTCAGCTTAAGCCGAGACCCATCAGCAAAAGAGCAGAAAGGAGGAGCCCTTCAATACACAGGGTTTGTTTTGGGGGTACATAGTTGTCTGTCACCAGATGACTTTGAGCTGCTGAGGTTGTTTTTACCAACAGATATTCCTGAGGAATCTTCCCCTTTGAAGGACACAATGTTTCCTTGGGATCATTTCCTTTCCACTCCAGTGCTTTGCAGTACATTTTTGGATGTTTTCTGTTCTTTTCATTTATCAGATTCTTCCTTTTTCTTCTAGCAAGCGTTAGCTTCATTGTTTGTGTCTTCAATAGCACAAAAATGTTATTCACTGATATTTAACTACGGCCTCATCATATGCAACATGTTATCATGCCCAGACATCTTTGTCTGGCTGTCATCATCATCTGTCAGTCTTTGCACAGCTGTGCGAATCTCTGGCCAGATTCTGAGCTTGTGTTAGTTGGAGAAGCTCCATCCACTTTGTAGCCCTGTGTTTGCAGGGATGCAATGAGGATCGCTAATATTAATTGCAGTTAATAGCGGTGAGACAAAAAGGCCAGGTAGTACTGACTCTTTGTTGTTTCCAACTTCTGTCTTGCTTTAAACAAAGCAGCATTTTTTTTCTTTTTATCCTTGTATAGTGTTTGTTGTTTTTGTTGCACTGAGAGATGGTGAATTGTGAATCTGAGGGAGATGGCCTATGTAGAAATTGTAATGCCTTAAAGGTATTAAATTCTGTAGTGTTTCTGAAGCTCTTGGTTTGAGGGCTGTTACATATCGAATGTCCACGGGACTACCCTGAGAGCTTTCTGGCCTGAATGTGTAGTGAGTCGTGAGAAGGGCTGAGGTTGGGCTGGGAACCCATCCTTTAAAAGCCTTTAGTTGAGATCTGGTTCTCCTGTTACGCTTTTCTCTAATCTCTGAATTGTGGTTGTGAAAGCATCTCTGCTCTGTTTTTCAGTGGATGGAATTGACCCTAATTTTAAAATGGAGCATCAGAGTAAGAGAACCCCTCTCCATGCTGCCGCCGAGTCTGGCCACGTGGACATCTGCCATATGCTGATTCAGGTCTTTCTCCGCTTACGTTCTTCTGTACAAGCAATTCTCTGTGGTTTTTGGTCTCCTGCCCCACATGGCTAAAGCACACTTGGAAATCAGCACTGAACAGTCTCTCCTATAAAAATCTCCTTATTCTCAGGGTATGCTGAGCGAGGAGTGGTGGAGAGTAGTGTGAGGTCTTAGAGGTCATGACTGAAGCTGTCTTTCTAGGCTGTTCTCCAAGCAAGCTTCACTGTCCAGGCAATGAGCAAGTGAAGCTTCAGTGTAGGGCATTGTGGAGCATGTGGGAACCTATATGCCTAAGCACACCCAGCAGAGCAGTGCACTGCCAGATGTGCCAGCGCAGGCTGACCGCTGGCAGACTGCAGGTGATCTGCAAGCTGCTGCCAAGTTGCTCTTTGTAATGAAGGCAGGTAGGCTCTGGAGCCTGCAAACTAGCAGACTCTGTCTTCCCTTCTGTCAAAACCTGAGCAGGATTTTCCTCTACAGGTAAATGTCTCGCATGTGAAAAGGAGAGAAGGAAAGATGCAAGTTTGGCTTATTGTCTGAGTTTTGGATTCTAATTGAGGGAAGATGGTCAAAGACAGAGGAGTGCTCTTGTTGAACCCTCTCCAAAATGATTTAAAGAAAAAAGAAGGCTTTAAAAAGTTATAGTTTTTCTTTTTTGTACTGGCATACATCATCTGGAGTGACTGGAAGTATGTTTTGTTTACTTTGTGTGACTGGGAAACCTTAAAAGGCTTTTGAGAAAGCAGCAATGCCACATCTTTGAAAATGAGCCTGCTGGGATGTTGCGTTTCAGCATCTAGAGTTAGAGGCTTTCAAAGTGCTGTTTGAAGATGCAGCTATGGGCCTACCCTGCTGCTCTCACTCACTTAAGTTACTGCACGTGAAGACAACTGAATGACTTGTATGAGTAAAAGGAGCAAAATTTGCGAGATACTACAAACAATTTGAACTGAGTATCAGTAGGGCTGGTTTGTTTCCAAAATCCTTCATGTTCTTGTCACTTCCCTGATGTCTGGCTACTGCAGTATCACAGTATTTGGCTGGGAATGTCCTCAGCTTGTTAAACTTGAAATGCCTCTTCTCTGGTCTGGTTTAAATAGCTCTAGCTATTTAAAAGTAATCAAAACAAATGCTTTTAGTGGGAGGCACCTGGAAGCAGTGGGGCTGACTTCTTGTGCCAGGTGAACCTGAGTCAGCGTGCCGCTGCTGTAAACAGGTCTGTGCTTCGCGTGTATATATGTGTGTGTAGCCTGCCAAGAATTGTGCTGTCTCTGAGATTTTCGTTTGGTTTTGAGTATTGGGTGGGTTACTGAGCTAAGCCAAAGAGTTAAAGCAGGCAAATTACATGACATAGTAGTATTTTGGAAAAGAGCAAAATTTTGGTCCACGGCACTCTTATGTTGAACTGATCATATTCTCAGACACCGATAGAAACGTAACCGTTGACTTCAACAGGAAGAGTTAGCCAATCTCCAGGATTTTTTTTACAGCTCCTACCTCTGTTGCAATCAGCAAGTTGTTCCTACTGCTTGTGACATTGGGAAGAGCTGGTTGTTTTGTTCATTGTGTCCGTAGAAATGATAGACCAGGGAAAACAAAGCTGCTGGAAAAAGGAGGAGGCTGATTTTTCAAAATTGTAACACAAACAATATCCAGAAAGTAGCAATACAAAATGCATTAATAACTAGAGTTATTTAATACCAGCTGTTGGCTTCCTTATGCCCCAGTTACTGGCTGTAGAAGGCAAGAGAGGGGGCAGGCAGTGTGTGCTGCTTTCCAAAACAGGTGAAGTTGGACTGCCTTCTTTCCTGTTTTTATTTCTTTCTTTTTTTTTTACGCCCTTGCTTAATATGGCTAAATTTCAGGAAAAACTTGCTACTAAATCTCTACTTCCACATCCTTTCTCTGCTAACCAGTAATGATTATAACTCTCTTTGTATTTGCCTTGGCCTCTTAACAGGCTGGTGCTAATATAGACACCTGCTCTGAAGACCAGAGGACCCCACTGATGGAAGCAGCAGAAAACAACCATCTGGAAACTGTGAAATACCTTATCAAGGCTGGAGCACTAGTAGATCCTAAGGTAGCAGTTTATTCCTTGTCTTTTTCTCCTGAAGAAGCCTCTGGTCACCATTTCATTCTTGATAGGTTTTAAGTCTTGGGTGGAAGTGCACAGGCAGAGGGGAAATGGACTTGCTTGTCTTGGGCGCGAAGGCTTGGCAAGGCCGCGCTTGTCGGTAGTACCATTTTAATGGTGCAGTGTCCTGGCTGTGAGCAGTTTGGGGCAAGGGCTGCCGCTTGCTACATTAGTTTGTGGCACCAAATGTGGGGGGTATTTGATTTCATATGGGGCCACTAAGTGTTAGTGTCACAAATCCATTGCAGTGGATTTGGAGTTTGATTTCGGAGTTTCCTTCTCTATAGACTCTAACAATGAGAATTTTGGGGTGACATTTTAAAATGGGCTGGTAATTAGGTGCTTGTCAAGCCAGCAAAAATGACAGAGGAAGCTTTGCTTTCCAAAGGACTGATGTGTGGTTTCTTGCAGTCACGCTGCAGTCGCAAAATTGGACCCCATCTTTAAACTCTACCCTTTAATTTAAACAAATACAATAAAATGCAGCTGTCTGTTTGCCTTTAGCATGCTCTGGTTGCTTTGCAATCTTGGAAAATATACAGATCGTTTATTAGTCCCATAAATCAGATGCTATTTGGAGCACAGGAACCCTCCCCGTGTGAACTTCTTATTGTTACAACCTGCTGCTGTTGGCGCGCTCCTCTGCTATTGCTGGGGAGTACGGCAGGGCCGGGATGCTCTTCTTGTGAAGGAGCTGGCAGGGCCAGGAGGATTGCACAAGATATCAAGTGCTGCCCACGCTGAGCCTTAAACGGAACCTTAAATGGTTCTGAGCCGGGAAGGGGGAAAGGACAGGACAGGCACGTGTGGGTTCATACTGGCCACTGTCCCAAGTGGCTTGGAGCAATCCAGACATCGCTCACCTGATTTATTCCTGTGGAAGAGAAAAGAGGGGGTTTTTTGCTTCTAAAGGTAAAGGGAAGGAAAAACATCCTGAGCTTGCAAAAGCAAATTAGAAGCCTGAGATCACGTCTGAAGTCTAGACTAGTTTATTATGTTAATTAGTTTCTTGCACCAAATTAGTCATTTTTTTGAAAGCAGCAACATTGCAGTTTAAAATCAGCTCCAGCCATTAGGATGAGAAATCTGGACATGAACTGCTGCGGGTGTGTGCCGAGCCTGCCCAGCCCAGCCCTGCAGGACTGCTGGGTGGAGGGGGATGCTGAGGACCATGCAGGGGGTGCGTGGGTGGGGGCTTCTCAGACCCCAGGGCAAAGCTGTTGATTCTGTTAATAGGACGTAAAAGCCCCACTCAAAACCTGCAGAAACTTTACGTTAAAATATGGCTGCTCTTCATAGGGTTGAGAAGCTGCCCTTGGCTCATGCTAATCTAAGGGGAAAGCAGTGGCATTATTCTGATGTGGCAGGCGCTTATGGGGGTGTAGAAACCCCTCCTTTACCCCGAGAAGCCCACACAGCGTAATCCCTGACCTGAGACATCCCATCCTTGCTTGGAGGGTTGCTCCCTAGCCCTGCACCGTGCTCTCAGTTCGGCTCCATCCGAAAGCTCTCGCCTCTGATGTTGCTTCTCAGGAAGGAGTCATTTTGGTTTTCAGTCTTTCATTTCCTCCTCCTTATTTCCTGGTCTCTGGGCCTTGCTGTGTGCTAAGCTCTTGGGATATAAACGCCTGATAAAAATAAGGCTCCAGCCGCTGAGGTCTTTGGTGTTAGTGTGGGAGTGTCTCCGTCATGACTCACAGCCTGTCCATCTCCACCAGACCCTGTATTCTCCGCTCCCAAAGGCATTTTTCCTTTCAACCTTCATGGTCATTTTTTATCTCCTATCTCTCCTAGACAGCTGCGGGCACCTGTGCAGGACACCTCTTTGCTCTGCTGCCAGGTGCTGGGATAAAGCCTTGTGCTAATAAAACACAGCAAAAACTGCTGTATAAATGGAGCATTTCAGGTTGAGACAAGGCTACTTTTCTGATGTAAAGTGCAAGCTCTGCCTCTGTAAGGGATTTCTACCTCCCCTTGGCTCTCCAGCACATGGAGAGGAGTTGAAGACGGTCTGTTGGGGAAGGGGAACATCAGTCTGCCAGAGTTTGGGGCTGGTACCTTCCCTAGGCTTCGCAAAGGCGTCTCTTCCCGTAGCCTTTGTGCTCGCAGCCTCCTACTGTGCGTGGGTTGCACCTCTGAGCTTAGTGTGAAGCTCCTTCTGCTCTGTGCCAGCATTGGTTGCTGCTGCTCTCTCCTCTCCTGGCAGCGGGCCGGGGGCTTCTGGAGTCCTCTGCTGCATCCGTGAACTTCTCTGCTGTTCCTAAGCATCAGTGGTGTCATGCAGACATGGGAAACACTGGGAAGGGATGTCCCCTGAGTGCCTGTTCTGTGGTTGTGTCCAGGATGCGGAGGGCTCCACGTGTCTGCACTTGGCTGCCAAGAAGGGGCACTACGATGTTGTTCAGTACCTCCTCTCCAATGGGAAGATGGACGTCAACTGCCAGGTGAGGCCTTTCTGCGAGGGGCAGAAGCTGCTTTTCTCAGGTCAGGGACCCGAGTCTCAGCAGCGTGCTGTCTGCCCAGTCGTTACTCAAATACAGTCCTCCTGCTGGGGGGCACCTGAAAAACATTATAGGACGACAGTGCCGTGGGCATCCCAGTCTGCCAGAGAAGGCGATCCCCTGCAGTGACCGCATGGAAACTTTCCTTCTGTGTGCCTTGATTAGCAGTTTCTCCTTGATCCAGAATTTGCTGGTGGAACCTGTTGCTCAAGGGTGTCCCTGTGCTTCTCCTAGCAGGGGAGGGTGGGATCATGGACATGCAGTGGGATGGGTTGAGCCTGGCACGCGCCATCGCGGAGCTTATATGTTGCTGTGGGGCGAGGCAGCACTGCATCAGGGTTCCTTGTTCCAGGGGAAGGCCAGCTCCCCCAGGCTCAGGGGTCTTTATAAGAGCTTTTACACAAGCTGGATGTTCTTCGTGCAGTTTGGACAGTCAGCTGCATTTGAACACCCTGGAGATCCATTGCCAGTGTGCTGAGCTGCAAATAAACTCCAACCTGCTGAGGCATGTTGATTTGAATCACGCTGGGCTCTGCAGGACCCTGAGGGACCTTTCCCTGCAGCAGCATAGACTGAAGGAGAGTGATGAGACAGTCGTGGGGTGGGAAGGGGTCTGTGGCTCCCAGACAAGGTGCACCCTGCTGTGGCTGCCCTGGCTGCCAAGGGGCTTGTGAAGCCAGCAGGAGACCAGCTTGCCCGTTCTGCATGTCTCACCCTTTCCTTTCCCTCCCCAGGACGATGGAGGCTGGACGCCGATGATCTGGGCCACTGAGTACAAGCATATTGAGCTGGTGAAGCTGCTGCTTGCAAAGGGGTCAGACATCAACATCCGTGACAATGTGAGGTTCTTCCTGGAGTCAGAAGATTTCAGAAATTAGCCACAATCTCTGTTTAAAACTAGACAAGTCCAAGGAGGCAGATTTTGGGCTCAGTGCAGGGAGGTGCAGTGGTCCCTTGACACAGGTGGTTTGGGGCAGTGTCTGGTGAGAGAATTTTCCTCCATATTCTGGGAAGAAGTTTACAAGCTGGCAAGAAGTCCTTTTCCTCCAGCTCTTCTGACAGAGCCCGTAAGGATGCTGTATGTTATGCCTCAGGCTGTAGTCAGCTCTGTGCCTCACTGCTTCTAATCCACCTGGGTCTGCTGTGCTGCCACTTGGACGCTGCACCAGCCAGATCTCCCTTGAGTCCAGACTTGCCACACGTTGGTCACGGGCCAATGTGTATTGGGTAGGGCGCACCCTGCGTACCTTTTGGGGTGCACAAGCTCGTACTCCTGTCTTCCAGATGGATTGGGCAGATGCTCTGTGAGCAAGTATCGCAAGCCTGGCTTTTCCTAGGCATAACAGGCACGAAGCCACCAATGTGGACAGAGCGTGCCTAGGCTGGCGGCTCAGCGTGCTGTGGAGCTGGCTCTTGGTCTGCTCTTCACCTCCGTAAATCCTATTTGAGTGGGACGTAATTCTGTACTTGAGGGAGTCTGACTCCAGGTGGAGTCCCTGGGAGCTCCGTGGGCCCGGCAGCGCTGCGTGTCGGGCTGTGCCAGCTGGTTTCATGGGGATTTTCAGGTAAACAGAGAAGATACCAGGGAAATGACTGGGGAAGGAAGGAGAGAACATCCAGGCTTCTGTTCAGGAGACTCATTGTATCAGCACTGCTCCTCCCTTTTTCTTAATAGTGTTTTTCTCATTTTTTCCTTTCTCTAAGGATATTGAAATCCCAGAAGTACCTGCAAGGCAGGCTTGGGTGTGAACCAGGGTGTGTTGAGCTATTCCAGGCTTTGGCCTGTAGATGTGAATAGTTTGATAAGTAAGGGGTAACTGGCTTCACTGCTTTGTGCATAGAGTTGTTACAGCGAAGTCCCTACCCCGCCATCAGTTCACCCTCTAGCGTACCTCATGGCAATGTATTTTCTTGTCCAAGGCTCCTAGTGCTTTTCTGACTCCAAGGGATATAAGCAGCTGGTTTGTATTTGTCTCCTTAAATGCCTCGTTTTGTGTCCTGGGTGCTAGCAGGGGTAGGTGTTGGCACGTTTGTCTTGTGGGACTCAGAAAGGCTCCAGCTGTTACCGAGAGTCGCTGTCCCCAGTCTGAAAGCCCCTTCTTGGTAGGAGCCTCTATTTCCTTGGTAGCTTAGATAGTTCCCAGGCAGGTCTGGATCTGGTACTATTCCTAAAAGCAAAAGTCAAGGCAAGAGAGGGGGCTTTTTGGGTTGTTGCATTGCTTCAGAGCCCTAGCGCTGACTCTGAACAAAACTGACTTGTTTGATCTGTCACAGAAGCGTTTTGGCTACCAGTTACAAGATCACACATTAAATGATGAAAATCAAATCAGCTCAGTCAACGATTTACTTGAGAAAAAAAAAAATCCTCTTAGCAGATACGTGTATCACATATCCGTTACTGTACCTACGTTCGATGTCTCCTGATTGCAGTCATTAAGAACCAATGTCACTTGTGCTGGGAAACATCATACTCTGGGAGAAATGCTTTTGATTGTAATTATGCTGCTGTTAGGCAGTAGCCGATGCAAAGCAAAGCAGTGAATCTAGGTGTCTGTAACCTGTCTGAGCAGCAGCATGTGGTATGCAATCGACAGGATTAATTTTTTCTGTAGATTGGTATGTGATGCTGATGAGGGGTTTTTTTCTAGATGTTACCATAATGGGAGGCAGAAGCCGTATCGAAAGAGGTCTCCCCACTCCCTGGTGTATGTCAATAGCCTCCCCATTTAAGGAAGGATCTAAGTTAAGTTGCGATGACTAAAAGATGTGCTTTATTTTTGCTTTCAAAAAAGAAAAAAAAGAGAAAAGTTAGGTGATCATTACTATCATTGCACTGCTGTAATCGACGTCTTTAGAGCTTGTCATGGGGAAGGGCTTGAAGTGTGCTGCAAATTGCACTGTAACAGAAAACAGAGTATCGTCGCTTAAAATATCTCCATCAAAAAGATGAGTGTTCAGCTATTTCTAGTGCTGCTAGTGAGAGATGAGTACATACAGTATTTAAGAGATGCCTGAAGTCGGATTGATTGCTTTCCCTGTGGCTCGTGGTTCGCTTTCTGGCACCTTCATATACTCTGTAGCTTGTGCTGTGCTCTTTTTCTCTTTAATTTTTAGCACTGGGAGACATGCTAGCTTTCCTGTCTGCCTGGGCTGGGGAAGCTCAGCTTCTAGCCTTTTCCAGCATGTTTGTTCATGTCTGTCACCTCTCTCGTGGATTGATCCAGATTGTTTTGTGGCTTAGAGACAGACGATTTGCCTGCGTGTATAAGGAAGGCGATGGGCTGCTTTGTGTGCAGCCTCCCCGTCTTTGGTGTGCGGAGGCGGCTAGAGTGAGAACTCCCTGCTTGTCTGCGTGGAGGTTTCCCTGGCTGCCCTGGCAGTCCCAGCCAGAAGGAGCAATGTAGGGAAGGAGACTGCAAGCCACGTGCTGAATGCTGCAGGTGTAGAGCTAAGGATGGTGAAGTCCCAAAGCAATAGGGTTTTAATGCACTAAACAGCTTCTACTCTGTTTTCTTTCCCTCCAGGAGGAAAATATTTGTTTGCACTGGGCTGCTTTTTCTGGCTGTGTTGACATAGCAGAGATACTGCTGGCTGCTAAGTGTGATTTACATGCAGTGAATATTCATGGGGACTCGCCCCTGCACATTGCAGCCAGAGAGAACCGCTACGAGTGTGTCGTGTAAGTACGGCTCCAGCCCTGCTGCTTCTTTCCCTTGCCCTGGTCACTCCTTTCTCTCTGAGTGTTGGCTGGCAAGCTTGGGAGATCCTTTGAAATGCCTTTGGCATTTAAGCACAAAACAAAGTTGGGATGGAGGGCTTGTTTCTGTATTGCCCTGCTCCTAGGGGCGGTGGGTCTGAAATACTAGCTGCTGCCAGAACTCGTGTAAAAAAGATCAGAAAACATGGAGTGTCCTGGAGTCTTGGGCAGAGGGCTTGAGAGGCTGTGCTCAGCCTGGGCTTCCCAGCAGAAAGGCATCCGGCATCTTTGATTAAAGCTCTTTTTTTTTGCAACTAGCGTGGCATAATATGGTAACAGGGTTTTTCCTTTGCTTCATCACTGCTATGAATAAAGTCATCGTGTACTCACCAAAAGCTGGTGAATATAAACATGGGCCAAGTCCAATACCAGTTTCCCGTGGGACTCTTCCATTTCCACCCTACTCTTCCCATGCCATATCTTTCCCTGCCAGAGAGAGTTTCAAGCCTGTCCGAAGTTAGGCTGGTACCAGCAAGGTACTTGTCATGCCTGAAGCAAGGCGAGGTTTGCCCAGAGCTCTCGTCAGTGCCTAGAGCTCCAGTCTGTGGCTTCTGCCAGTGCCTTCATGTAGAAGGATTCACTGAACCATGCTTAATAAAGAAAAGGTGATTATTCACTACTACAGATTCTTCCTTGTCCCTTAAGGGCTTGCTGGAGGATGTGGTTCAGCTCATTTTCCCCTTGTGCGGTTTCTCTTGGGGGATGCTTATCCTTTCTTGCTGTTTTGCAGTCTGTTTCTTTCCCGTGGCTCGGATGTCACTTTAAAGAACAAGGAGGGTGAGACTCCACTCCAGTGCTCCAGCCTTAACTCTCAGGTCTGGGTGGCCCTACAGATGAACAAGACTCTCAAAGAATCATCTACTGACAAGCCTGCCCAGATAGAGAAGGTCGTGAGCAGGTGAGAATCCGGCTGGCTTTCCTTGTGGGTCATGAAATAGAGCCCTTGCACGGGGGAGGGTGGGGGCCTGCTTTAAGAAAGGACTGTAAGTGCATGCTTAGCTTTTTAAACTGGTATGAAGGTCAGTTTGAGCTTAGCAAGAATTAAGCATATGCTGATTCAGACTATGGTTTGTAAATTCATCCTCCAAATGGAAATATTTGCAAGCTCAAAGAACAATCTGTAAAGCAGGGTGGAAAAAAATGAACTCTGTTCTAGTCTGAATTGCTTTCAGGCTTTGAATGCTCAGTGATCAAAGGCAGTAATTCTGCCCCAGGATGGCATTTGAATGGCCCCTTGTTCAGGGACGCTTTTCTTCTGTGACAATTCTCTTTCTCCCACTGACAGAGACATCGCCCGGGGTTATGAGCGGATCCCGATTCCCTGCGTCAATTCAGTGGACAGTGAGCCTTGTCCTAGCAACTACAAATATGTTTCGCAGAACTGCGTCACCTCCCCAATGGACATTGATAGAAACATCACTCATTTACAGGTGAGGGATCACGTGTATCCACGTGTTTTTTCCTGTCCTGGTGTGTGCATTCAGGGATGTTGCAGTGCACTGCACCTCAGAATGGGTTTTGGATTCAAAATGGGAATGTCTAGTCCTAATATTGCCATCAAATTCCAACTAAGGCTGTAGTCCTAAATCCAGCTCTTGCTCTAGGAGATGGGATTCTGCTTTACTTCCTTTCTGAGACTTAGGCTTACCTCTGTGTTCAGCTGTGTGCTTGTAGCATCAGCCGTCTGGTGCTGGCTGATGCGGCTTCCATTTATCCTTTTCCTCTGTTCTGTATCTGGAAAGTTAGTGAGTTGCTGGGAGACGTTCCTCATGCTGGCTTCCTACTTGACTGCAGCATCCAGGCCAAGGTCTCTATTGTGATACTGGAAGTCCTCGAAGGGCTGGGTTGTGAAAGCAGAGGTGGGGAAGCATAGGGTGAGGGTGACCCGTCTCTGGGCACAACTCTCAGATGGCTGAAGTGAACTTCCCATGCCCAAGCCCTGTTGTGCAGAAGCTGGTGGTGGGACCATGTTGGCTTGGGGAGTGCTGGGGAAGCAGCCAGCTGGAGCACCTATGTGGGAAGAGGCAAGCAGCAGAGGAGGACTGAGACATCATGTTGCATCATCTCCCAGCTCTGGTCCCTCCTTGGAGCTTTCCTTGTCCTTGAGCGTGGAGTACAGCTCATAGGGCACGGAGGAAGGTTAGTAACAGAGGGCGACATCATCTCATGAGAAATGAAGATGGCTCAGTATGGGATCCTTTCCTGTAAGCCGGAATCCTTTGACGTTCATTGCACACGGAAGTAAGGAATGGGATAAAAATGCCACTGAACCAATGAGGCTGGTTATCTTTCTGGCTAATGAACTGCAGCAGAAGGCGAAGACTTGTGGGTTCCTCTCTGACCTAGTCACAGAAGTTGCTCTTCAGTTGGTGTGAGTGGCGTGGAGTTAACCCCTTTTCTTCTCTTCCAGTATTGCGTGTGTATAGACGACTGCTCCTCCAGTAACTGCATGTGTGGCCAACTCAGTATGCGCTGCTGGTATGATAAGGTGAGGACACAGAAACTCCTGTTGGGTTAGACCAGTGTTTGCGAGCTGAACTTTGCACAGTTCAGGGTTTATAATAGTACCTTAAAAACAGTTCCTTGCACAACTCCTCTACTTTTTGTTTTAAAATGCCTAAACTTGCAGTCTCAGCTTTGAGATGTATGTGATAATAACAAAATGCATACTCAGGGAAGCTTTTCTAGTGTTACTTATTTGTGTTACTGTCATGCCAACTGAGCCATTAATTATACCCATGTAATAGAGAGCATTTAATAATCCATGTGTGAAATCAGCTTCCATTTCAGAGCAACATAGAAAATGCTGTAATATGTAAACAAGGGGAGGGTAGTAGAGAGACTTTTTTTGCCTGTTTTTATTTATTCTGATCCTTCCGGATGAAGGCAAAGTAAAGGTGTTTTAACTGCAACATTGCCAGAAGCCTGGTTTGGTTTGGGTAAGTATGCTTCAATCCTCCAGGGAGGTTTTGAGGTTAATATTTGGACAGGTTTGCTAAGATCAGAAGTTCTGTGCATCTCTGCAAGTTTCTCCCAGGGGGAATATTGGCATCTTTCTTTGCTTTGTAGCCATTTTATTTACACGTTAATAGGTGATTACATCTTTCAAGCCTTAAAAGCCAAATTTGTTAAATATGATGAACTGCGTCTATCGCTTCCGTAATCCTAGATGGTTGGTAAATAATTGAATTGTAGCTTTTTGGGGAGTGTTATTTGGGAAGATAATGTGGTTCACAGAACTTGGGTGTATTGGCCTTGTAATCTGGAAGTTTAGGCTTTATTCCAGAGACAGACTACGCATCTGCTTTTCCCCTCCAGCACTGCAAAATGATGCTAATGATGATGATGCGTACCGGTTTTTTGCACAGCACTGTAAGATTTTTTTTTTTTTTTTTTTTTGGTGGTGTGTAGGGTGATGCCAGGCAGCAAAAATCTAGACAGTCTCTTGCTATTTGTCAGCTGTCAGTGATAGGGGCAAGTGTGCCACTGTCGGGATAGAGCAAAACCACTGCAGAAGTTGAGGTCGGACGCTGGTTTTGGGGAGGTCGGGGCATGCCTCCACCTTGGGGTTCTCTGGCCTGTTTTTACACTCAGGAATTTCTGCTCTTGGCCTGCCTCTGGTTTGGAGGGGTCACAGGAATAGACAACTAACCCAGTCTTGAATGCCTCTCCTCTTCAGGATGGCCGACTCCTGCCTGAATTCAACATGGCTGAGCCGCCGCTGATCTTTGAGTGTAATCATGCGTGCTCGTGCTGGCGAACCTGTAGGAACCGGGTGGTGCAGAATGGGCTCAGGTGAGAAGGAGGATCCAAACGCAGCTTATCTTGGCAAGACCAACAGCAAGCTCGTGAGCTTTCTAGCTCTCTAGTCTCAGGTCACTCATAAACCCACAAAACCCAGGACTTCCTGAGATGATACAAAAGTTGGGGCAGGTGCCACCATGCAGTGATGGGATGCAAGTGGTTTCCTGTGTGTTGCCAGTGGGAATGAAGCGGCAGCAGGTTGATGAGCTCAATTAATATTTGCACCCTTCCCCTGCTGCCGTCACATGGGAACTGTGGCATTCTTTCATCAGCCTGGCCATAAAACATATAAATGGCTTGTGGGTTTGCACGAACAGCCTAGATGTAACTTCTCATGTGGAGATCTGTGAAGAAAAAAAACAGCAATAGAAACTGCAAAGCTTTAATTTAGAAGATCTTCTAAGTTAGCAGTATATATTAGAAATATAGGCCAGCATGCCCAGACTTGGCTGTTTAAAATTTCCAAATTCCTGGCATGATTCCCCCTGAATTGGACACCTGAATACCTGTTGGCCTTGGTACTGCGGATCAGGCTGTTACGATTTTGGTGCCAGACTAAAAATGTAAATGTTTTGTTTTGGACCTCTGCTATGGAGAAGTTTGCCACTGCACTAAATGTATCAGGACAAACTTCAAAGGAATCCCACTGGAAAAAAGTTTTTTGCAAACTTTTTGACAACTCTTTTTTTTGCAAGCGTTGTAGTTTCAATGACATTTTGCAACGTTAAAAATAAGTAAGGAAAAGGCTCAATGCATTTCAGCAGAACTGTACCCCACTCTGGTTTTCCCTGCCAAGCTCCAGAGCTCCAGTGTCTATGTGGGTGTTTATTTAGGAGCTGTACAGCTAGAGCTGTTGCTTTTGCATTTTTGCCTTGCTAAAGTGTTTTTCTGAAAGATGGGAGGGTTGGAAACCCAACCATGAGCCTGGGAGAGCAGCTTTGTTGGGAAGCTGGCGCTAAGGTCAGGTGCTTGGCAGAGCTGTGCCTGAGGCTCCTGGAGAGGCAGTGGAGGAAACCTCCTGCGTCTGGGCTGCAGCGTGACACATGGGTGCTCCTGCTCCATTTTCAGTGCTTCCTTCGTCAGACTTGCTCCAAATTAACTCCGCTTGGCAGCGCACACGTTTCCATCTGGCAGGCTGACCCAGCTCAGCCTGGAAGCTGGGATTGGAGCTGTGGTCCCGCTGCTGCCGGTGTCGGTCCTGACAGCAGAGCCTGAACCTGAGCTTGGCTCTCTGCTCTGCTGTGATGGATGAGGCAAAACATGGGGGAGCTTTCTCAAGCCTGAAATACAGTGTTACAACTGGTTTAACATGAAGTCGTGTTTTGCCCTGGTGAAGGCTCCAGGAGCTGTGAGCAGATGAACAGCTCCTGGTTTGAGCTGACCTGAAGAGGGAATGGGTGGGGGGAAGAGGAGAGAAGTACTGGAAAAAGCAACAGGGTGAAGTTAAGGTGAGCGTCGGATTTCTCTTTATTCCGATAACAGCGTTGCCGAGAGTGGGTTTTGTTTCCCTCGGGGACAGAGCGAGCCTTCCCTAGCCCTGGAGACTGTTCATCCTGCACTTAACTCAAGTTCTGGCTGAGCAAGAGGCAGAATGACTTACAGGATTGTTTCTCTGCCTATAAACTCCATCAGTAAAATTCCACAGAGCAGCTATTACACCAAGAAGTTTCAAGTTGCAGCGTTTCTTCCTTGTCTTTCAGCCAGGGAGCTGGATATGATGGAGTTGCTAAATGCACCGGCCTCAGCAGAGGGCAAAGGGATCAGAGCACTTAGCTCAAGGTGTTCTTAATTCACCGTAAGCTCCCTCCCTTCCCCCTGCAGCAGCCCTCCCTGCCTTAAGTCTGCTGCCTTAAGTCCCCTTCCACCTTCCCTGCCTTCCCCGGAGTGCTGGGTGTGTGCATGGAATGGAAAGGAAATGCTGGTGGTGGGATTCTGGTGTCCTATGTGTAAATCATTAACAGTGTAACCACACAGAGCATCCAATCCCGTACCCTCTTCCCCAGTCCTTAACATGTCCAGTCCTTAGGTGTGCACCTCACCAGGTGCTGCTGGGCAGGGAAAAGGAGTTGATGGGCGCCCGTCCCTTGTCCCCAGGCAGTTCCCATCCGAGCATCTGCCCGCACGCTCAGAGCAACAGTGGGAGTGGAGCGTACCCACAGTGGTGCCAGCGTGAGAACTGCAGGGTTTGAATATCGAAATCATCTTTGAGTTTGTGATGGTGGAAGGTTGCTGGGTTTTTTGCTCATCTCTATGAAAATTTGTTGTCTTTCTGCGGAGTGCTGCCATTAACGTGGCTTCGTTTCCTCTTTTCCAGGACTCGATTGCAGCTTTATCGGACACAAAAGATGGGCTGGGGTGTGCGAACAATGCAAGATATTCCACTGGGAACCTTTGTGTGCGAGTAAGTTATTCAGCTTTCATTAGCTCACGCAAATGCATCGCTTCCCGAGGGCCGGGATGGTTTGCCCTTCTTCAAGGAGAGGTTTTCATGCAAATCAAATTGGCATCGAGCCGAGCTGCTTGCCCTCAGTCAGAGGTTTCCTGACTCCATTTCCTGCTCTGTTTGTCCTTTTCCTCATAGCATGGAGCTTTCTCCACCCCTCTCTGTCTTGCTGGGATCTGTGCTCAGCTCTCTTATGCCTCTGAAACACAAGCGATGGGGGAAAAATGCCTTTGGGTTGTGCTGCAGATGTGCTCAACTCACATGTTCACCGTGGATATGGGACACTTAAGGCCAAGTCTATTTGGAATAACTTTTTTATATCGGATCTCAAGAGGTTTTCCAGTGTCACAGCTCTGGCTTTAGTCTGATTCAGCAAAACAGTAAAGCACTTGGCGTTAAGCACATGTTTCGGCCCTGATTCAATAAAGTACTTAAGAACAAAAATGTTCGGATTTATGTCAAGTGAAAAAACTGCTGTTGAACCCCGTGGGTTTTAGGCTTTAAAGTGGTATATGTACTTTATTAAATATTTTGGAAAGTGTTTTCTTCATTGCAATACTACAGTGAGTTAAGACCTTCTAAATAAGGCTGGACTCATGCCCTTCATGGAAATAGGTGCTAGGGTTTTTTAGAACTAGTTATTGATGTGGTACAGAATCAGGGCAGGACATTGAGGAAGATTATTGCAGAATTTAAAAAAAAAAAAGAAGGAAAAGAAAAATCTGCGGTGAATCGGCCAAGTATTTCTTCCAAGTTAGGAGCTGCCAGATGATAAAATGTTTTTTTCAGAGGTAAAGCTTAAAACTCTGCTGTTTGTGGGGAGTGTCGCAAGTCTGTCTTCAGGTGGGGCTTCCTGTTAAGTACCAAAGGTCCCCGTGTCCTGGTTCAGCGCCCAGAGATGAGCCAGAGCCTGCACGTAAACTGCTCCTAAAGAAAAAAGGCACTGACTTTACCAAATCCTACTGGAATGCTAACACGCAAGAGGAATAAGCAGTGGTGAACAGGCAGCCCAAGGAAATGGCGCAGCCCTGCACGAAGGTGTAATTAACACAGACCGGTGCGTTGTAGAGCACATCAGAGCTGATGGGGTGCAGATACCACAACCGTGCCTAACTCTTCCCTCCACCCTTGCCAGGAGCTGCTGACATGGTTTCAGTGGTAGGCGCTATCTTCTTCATTATCTAAATGAGCTGCATACTAAAAAGCTGAGCTAATTTATGTCTTGCCCATGCACATTCCTCCTTGTCTCTGTCACTCTCACAGACACACACACGTTATTCACTCAACTCACCAACTGCAGTCCTTTTCTCCTCCTCCACTCAGCTGCACTGATATCCTTCCTGTGATTCTTTATGGGCAACCTATAGATTTGGTTTCTTCTTTTCCTCATCTCTGGCAAAGAAGCACCGGTGCTGGCGGTGCATGGGGGGCTGCTTGCACACAGCAGCTCCCGGGATCGGCTCTTGTGGAAAAGCATTTTGCATTAAACGTCTGGATTAAAGCCCTGAGTGGATAGTCGCTTTGTATGGAGGTTATTACTCTGCTTTGGAAGGATGAAAATTGTATTGGTGTAAGGATGACTTTTATTCCATAATTATTCATGTATGCCCACATGAGGGGCAAATCTGGAGATGTTCTTACAACACTTTTATTTTGCAAAACTCTGCTGGTCCTGACTCTTTCTGTGTGTAAATGCCTGTTCTACACACATACTGCTTTTCAGCCTGCTCCGTACTTCAGATACCTTTCAACTTTTCTCTGTAATCACTCAAAAAATGGTTTCCCTTTCCCTTTCTGCTTGCAGACTGTCCTCTGGCAGCCCGCAGCACCTTCTGCAGGGAGCGTTTAGCAGTGCTCAGAGCAGTTTGGCAGCTGGGAGTGAAGCTCTGCCAGCACGGTGGCCAGCCAGCCCTCCCACCGTCGTCTCCAGGGCTCCCCAGACCCCAGCTGCTCCAGACCCTCCTACTAACGGCCTCCAGTACCTTCAGCGCTGTCCTGGAAGCAGCAGCTTAGCAAGGGGAGATGCAGCAGTGTCATCCTCCCTGCCCCGCTGGGCTCCCACGGAGTTTTTAGGCTTTTCCACTCGCAGATGCTCAGGAGTGTGCTCGTGTGCAGGCTTTTCCCTGGGCTCCGAATTTGTCACCGCTCAGAAGTTGCTGTTGCTCCCCCTGTGCTGATGTTGCTGTGGATTGTTTTGAATCTGCTCTGTTCATGCTTGGTTGTCAGACAGTGTAACTGCTCATTCTGGAAATGGCACAGCTGGTTAAGGGCTTTTATTGGAGAGGCTTTGAATTAGTGGGATGCAGAAACCAGAGGTTTGTGAGGATCTGGTCAGTTCCTTTTGGTGCACATCCTTTACGTAGTTTCCAAATATTTCATTTCTGTACAAAACAGTGATGCTCTAATAGATACCATCTGTATCAAGCCAGGTATTTTAGCCACACCTTCAGCCAGAGAAGCCCCAGGCATCCCATCTCCCACACCCCCTGGAAAATGCTGGAGCCTGTCCTAGGGACTTCTTGTTACTCTTGATTTTTGCATGGAGTGCGCTCTGATCTTGCAGTGATGAGTGGCAGTGTAAAGCTCTGAGATGTAGTTACTTGCCATCAGCATGCTGAATATCTTGCTGAGAAGAAAGGCGTCCATAACTTTGGACCTGGGAAATTAGGGAACCGTTTGTATTGGTAAGCAGTCCCGGAAAGGAAATGAGTTACAGGAATAGTCTTTAAAGGAACATCGAAACAACAATTTTTAATTAGATGTGGTTTTTTGTTTCACTGAGTTGTAAACCTGAAGTGGCTGTCCCTGAGCAGAGTGCCTCTCCGTGCAGCATTATTTAGCTGTTTCTCAGCTGCTGCTGGCTACTGTGCCGTGCTACAGCAATTTCTCTCCCTCTCTGGCCATCATCTTCCTATTGCTTTAGGTGACCAACGAGCGTGTGATTTCCAGTAATGCCGCAGCCTTACGGGAGTGTTTAATAAATAACAAGATGCAGTGGGGGCAAACAGGAGGATCACACGCGACGGCAGCCTCCTGCTCTGGCAGAGCAACTTGGCCAGATTGCTCAGATTTGGGAACTGCAGCCAAATGATGCCTTGTCATGGAGTGTGTGGGTCCTCTCCAGGTTAATGTTTCGTGGCTCTCCTCTTCCCCAGCCCTGGAGTTAAATGCTGCCTTGAGCCACAGGAGGAAATGGATACGGTTGGTTAACACTTCGAAAATGCCTTGAGAGCTGCAGGGGAATGCTGTGATAATGGCTGCTGATCATGGAAGTCTCTGACGCTACGAAGAATATTTATTCATATTGTGAATTCTTTGCTTATAATTAACTAGTGTTGCATTGCAGGCCGGGAAGACTTACATACCAGAATCTACTGTGCTGTCGCTTCTTTCTCATATCCTCCCTCTGGCTCAGTACCTTTCCTCTTGTGTCTCTTACTTTGATTGCAAGCAGGTCAGGGCAGGAAATGTTGAACCTTGACAGTCCAAAACTGTTTAAGATGGAGACGGGGAGACAAATGTGGGAACACCAGTGCAGCAGGGACTCCTGCAACAAGGGGGTTTGCATCAAAACCAGCATCTGTCTGGGGTGTGAAAGGTGATGCATGTATTTAGTCCTTCTCAGCAAGCCGGGCCAAGCAGTTCATGCTTTGTGGTGCTCGGAGGACCTGGTTGTAATCTGCCTTGCACCTGGTTTTACAAAAAGGTGGTTGTTACTGGGATCACAACTCTGATTTATTCTGGTTCGAGAGGGATTGAGAAAGAATCCTAGATCCTTCCAGGGATCCTCCAGGTTAGGTTAGACCTAAGACTTTCAAAACAAAACTTTTTAAGGTATGTAGCCTATGTAATCGGTCAAAATACCCTGGAAAATACAGGAAGGACAGACACAAACATTTTGCTTTGGGATGTAAACAGCACAAGCACTGCAGTGGTGTATAGGAGAGCCAGGGCGTGAGTCTGACCGTGAACATAGGGAGAATTGGATTAATGTGTTGATCTTGGCCAACAAAAAGGAAACATAGTCCTCAGGGAAAAAGTAAATTTTGTTGGAAGACAGACTCCATTTTTAATATTAAAAGTGTTGCCCTGAAAAGACAGAGTTTGAAGCCAGATTTTAGCTGCTGTAAGTTGGCAAAGCTCAGTTTGCCCGGGTGGCTTTGAGATGACCTGCACTGCTCAGGCCGTGGGTTGCCATCTGTGGCTGGGCTGCATCCCTTTCTTTCCCTCTTCCTGGAAAGAGGTGTTTAAACCCAAGCTTGTGATTGCATGAGCATCTTATTTCTGCCTTTCCTGTTTGTCTGCAGGTACGTTGGTGAGCTGATATCCGATTCCGAGGCAGACGTCCGTGAAGAGGACTCCTACCTCTTCGACCTTGACAACAAGGTACTGTATCTGAAGGTGTGTAATGAGACAAACCCAAGGTCTTACCTCTCCAGATGAGCAGAGAGATTATTTGTCTCCATCTTGATGTACAGCACAATCTGAAAGCCTGCAAAGAGGAGGACCGCAAAGAGGAGGACCGCATCCTCACTGCATTTTAGTCAAAGTGTAGAGTGGCTGAGGTAAGGCGTAGGGCTTGTTAAAACAGTAACAGAGCCCAGCAGCAGCGCTGGGCCACCACGGTATGTGCTGCCCACGCCAGTTTTGATGCAAGATGCTCTTTTGTCAAAACCGTTTGGGCATCCTGAGTTCAGTTGTTCAGTTTTGGATACTCAGGTGTGTATATGCAGGCTTGCAGCTGTGTTGATTGGCAGCTCTGTAAGTTCTTCATAAAAAGATGAGCTGGAAGACTGAAAAAAACCCCATTCACTTGTAAAGGGATCCCTCAGATACCCTGGCAGGGACTTGAGGCTTGTTCTGCTGGTAGTTATCCTGCGCTGCTCTGCGGAGGGCTATCTCAGAGCAGAAATCTTGCTTTGAAAAGTGTGATCTAAATCTTTTAAGCAAGGCCATCACTTCAGTCTTTCCTTGGGAAAGGAGAAGAGGAGAGAGGTGAGCTGGGGACTCAGAGGAGTGGGGCAGCTTCCAAGGAAAGCTGTAAAACAGTCTCTGTCTTGTTTCTGTCATCAGCTAGTGACAAAGAAGCTTTGCTTTTCTTTTTTTTATTTTTTTGTTTTAAAGCAACACACATTTAACAACTGAAAAAAGGCAAGTAATGAGTCTTGTAGTCAGTCTGAAAACAGAGGGATCAAACTGTAATTAAGAAGCTGAAAAGCAGCTGGGACTTCAACCTGGTTTGTACATTTATGAGCTGGAGTCCACCTGGGCCTTGCCTTGCCTTTAGGTTAGCCCCTGGCTGGCTGCCTTGAGGGGGATCCTCTGCGTTCACTCTAATGAAGCCTTTAGTGAAGCAAGGAGGGGAGACCTAAGGAAGACCTAAGTACAGGTGCAAGCACGTTGTCTTTTTTCAGGGTTTCTTCAAAGTGGATCATCTGTAGAAAAGTAGGTACCAAGTCATTGAGCAATTGTTAAACGAAGCCCATCGGGATGGGTGGAGGAGGGCAGGGCAGAGCCAGCCAGGTCCTGTGGCCCCCTGAGAGATGGGAAATTATTAAAGGTGTGAGCCCCAATCCTGGGAGGGACAGCCTTGGGGTCCTGGTGTGTCTCAAAGGAGTGGCCTGGATGGGCTTGTGCTGTAGTGAAAAAATGGTGGGGATGTCATTTCTGATGTCCCTGTACCTTGAGTTGTCACTCAAGGCCACGTGCATGGTGAATCGTTCAGCGTGCCAGGTCCTGCAGTCACATCCCGTCCCGTGTCTGAAAGGGGGTGAACATCAAACAGCCAAAACTTACTGCCATTGCTGGGTTTGCAGGAGGAGAACATAGGACACGCTATTTCTTGGAAAGACGAGGTTGAGTTTTAGCTGCTGTGGTTGCTTTCTGTTTGTGTTAAGCCACCCCTTTCCCACGTGCTGGCCCATCCTCTGCAGTCCTTGCTCACTTGGCCCTGCTGTGCTCCATGGAGGAGAGGCAGCAGTTGGGGCTGCGGGCTGCTGCGTCCCTGTGACCCCTGCCTGCCTGCAGGCAAGAAGGGCTTTCTCCGGGCTTCCTCCCTTCTAAAAAACCCTGGTGCTTTCCCATTCGTGAGAAGGATACTCATCTCGCCCTAGAGCAGGTTCATGGTTTCTCCTCTTCCTCTCTACTTGCCACCTTGTGACTCTTACATTCCCGATACCCTCGTAGCAAGGTGGGAAGCAATTTGCTCTGGGACTTGTCCTCCTCAGAGCTTCACAGTAAGGACGCTGCCTGTGTTGGTCAAGGTAGCAGGCTCCTTTCTTCAGACTTGTATGGTGGAGGGCTCAGGTTTTTCCAGATGGTCTCTAGATGTGGTAGTGAGTGATGTTATCTTCACCAACCATGGCATTTCCATGGATAAAAGTGAGAGGGCGATGGGAATTACTTAAAATTGAAATTAGAGCTGGTAACGCTGTGTGTGGTATGGCACCATGTGGGGTGATGCCTCCCCCAGTCATTGGGACATCTTCCCTGGGCTCCTGCACCAGTCGGGCGGTGTGATCTGGCACAGCTCATCCATTAACGATTGCAAGGTGCTTGCCCAAAAGGGAGTTTGAGCACTGCTAATGGATCCTTTTGCTTTTGGCCTCTTTGCAACTGAAATTAGCTTCGGTAATTAAAGTCTCTGCTTTGCACAGTCATTCTCTGCTGGAATAAAAAAGCCCTGAGGGGGGCTCTTTTATTTTCAAGGAAAACAAAATATTACTGCTCTCTGGAAAGGGAATTTCTATCTTCTCACTTTCACTTTTATCTGCAAAAACCTGTGTTTTCTCGAGGCTCTGGCTTTGTGTTTTCCAGCTGTCGTGTTCAATTAGAGGACAGAACAGATGCCTGTTCCCCTGTCCAGTGGCTTTTACCCATAAGGTGTCTGTCTGCACCACATGTCAATCCCACTGTGCCAGACTGGTCCTTTAGCTGAGCAGGGTTGGGGAGAGCTGATGTGCCAGCCAGCGTCAGGGGCATTTCAAAAGGTCTTTGGGCTTGTGGGGGCAGAGTGCTGTGCTGAAAACTGTATTTTCAGAGTACTGTTGAATATAAAAGTGTGTGCTTTTAGTCCTTTTAAACCCACACTGGGTGTCCTGCCCTGGTTGTTCTTCTTGAAGCTCTCCTGAGTTTTAGTGGAATGACCAATAGTTCAGTCATTTGTTTTTTTTAAACAAGTAGCAGTAATAATACTAAACCCAACCTCATCTAATGAAAGATGCAACGTTTCTCCTCTAGGATGGAGAGGTGTACTGCATAGATGCCCGTTTCTATGGCAACATCAGCCGCTTTATAAACCACCTCTGCGAGCCAAACCTCATCCCGGTGCGAGTCTTCATGTCGCATCAGGACCTCCGCTTTCCCAGGATCGCCTTCTTCAGCACGAGGCATATAGAAGCTGGAGAAGAAATCGGGTGGGTGCTGTCCCTGGAGCTGCTTTTCCAACAGGGAGCCGCTGCCACGCTCGGGGAAGGACCGGGTGGAGAGGAACAAAAGCTCTGCTGCTCCCGAGCTGGTTCACTCCATCCCTTTGCTCTCCAGGCCGTGTCCCCAGGGTCCCCCGGGGATCCTGCAAAGGCGCTTCATCGCCTGAAGCTTTGCAAAAACCCCTGTTGTGGCAGCACTAAGGACTGCTGACCCCGGCGTCTTGCGCCGATGCATGGTCCCTTTTGCTCCCGCATGCCTCCTGCTTTGCAGTGACCCCGTCTCTGTCTTTCTCTTGCAGCTTTGACTACGGAGACAGGTTCTGGGACATCAAAGGCAAATACTTCAGCTGTCAGTGCGGTTCACCCAAGTGCAAACACTCGAGCTCAGCGCTGGCCCAGCGGCAGGCGAGCACCTCGTCCCAGGACACGCAGGAAAATGGGCTCCCCGACACCAGCTCTGCCACGGCAGCCGGCCCCTTTTGAGGCTCCGCTCCCCAGAGACTGACTCGTTTTAACCCTATAGATTCACATACTGTCTGAATTTCCATTTAAAGAGAGAAAAAAAAAGAAAAAAAAAAAAAAACAACCCGCTCAAGGAAAGCCAAGGGTTTGTGACACTTAGGGCTGTGCCATCGACTGTTACTTGAGGAATAAGTAAAAGCAAATCCCGCCTCCGTGATGTTGTTCTCCCCTCCCCGGTCCTGGAAAGCTGCTGGTTTTCACAGTTGCGTGTGGAGGGGTGGCTGTTGCGTTTTTTTTCCATGCGAGCTGTCCTGGCCTCCGTCTCTTAATGTGCTAAGTGTTGTCAGAGCCAAGGGAGAGCCGCCCGTCCTCTGACTATTGTTAATTGAATGGATCGCTCATGCCAAGTCATCTCCAGTTCACTTGTAATAAACTTTGAATACTTGATGGGACTTTCTTTCTAAAAGCCGGGGGGGAGCGGGGAGGGAGAGGGAGGTGCTGCCGTTTGGGTTTGCTTGGCACAGCCCCGGGGCAGGTTCTGCTGGTTGGTTTTTGTTGGTTTGTTTGGTTTTTTGGTTGGTTTTTTTTTTTTGGGTTGTTTTGGGTGTTTGTTTTGTTGTTTTTTGGTTTGGTGTTTTTTTGTTTTTTTGTTGCGGTGGGGCCTTTCCCTTGGAGTTAGAGGGCATTTCTAACAAATACCCTCCTTCTTACCAAATCCACCGGCTTTTTTCTCTGCTGATGAGAAGAAATCCACAGTCCTTACAGTCCCTTTGGTCCCTGCTCTCTCCCGAGCTGACCAGAGACGCTTCCCCTAAGACCCCGCTCCCTCCCGGGCTTTCTCCGTTACAAACCAGCTCTTGTCTGCGCCGCTTGGCCGTGTTACTGTCTCAGTGTTTGGTTCATCCGTGGAAGGATTTCCCTCGCCCCGTCGCATTAGCTGTTCTAGAGAGGGAAGGTTGAAGGGGATTGTACAAGACACTAACTTCTTAAGAAAATCAGTTTTTCTTTTTTTAAAAATAAAGCGAATGATATATATTATAGAGAACCTCGACTCGTGTCCGCCGGCTGGGGCAAACAGCAGACAGGACATGTCGCAGCGAGAAGATCCCAGATGCCACCAGCTCGTCTGTTCCCATCGCTTTTCTCAACGCTGGGCACCTTCGATTAATTTTTAAGCCACATGCTATGAGGTTTCAATAAACTGATTTATTTTTTACCATTACCGAAACATTGGGGACTAGCATTAAAAAGAAAAAAAAAAAAAACCACAAAAAAACCAAAACAACAACAAAAAGAAACCACAAAACAAAACGGTGCTGATTCTGGTGTGATTTTTGCTCACCACGTGAATATAAACTATCAATTGTATAAAAAGAACAAAGTGATTTTAGTATAAAAATGCAGGAAAAAAACACAAAACTTTTTTTAAATTGTTAGTATTGTAGTGTGAATAAATTTGCCATCACCTTTTGTGTGGTGGCTGGGCAGGTCATTATCTTAATTTTTTTTTTTTTTTTGCATATATCTTTAAATACTGTAATTAGTGCAGTAACAGTTTTTTTTGTTCATCTCTTCTAGAACATTCATAATGCCGTCATGTTTATTATTATTATTTTTTTTTCTGTTAATGTTTTTGACAGTTTTAAAGGAGCAGTCTTTTGGCTCTGATCATTTTCTTGTTCTGTTTTCAATGAAATCAATAAAAAAAAGAAAAAAAAAGTGCTTTAAAAGGAGTTTGGCCTTTTTGTCTGCCGGGCTGGTGGGGGTGGCACCGTGCGGGGCTGGGGTGGAGGGGGCTGGCGCTGGCACCTCTCATCCTTGGGCTTAAAAGGAAAATTAAGAAAGCAAAAAAAAAACCAAAAAAACCCAAACCCTGCATACTTTCAAGCAAGGATAAAGAAGCCTGACTGTTTGCTCTTTGTTCAAGGGGTTTGGGCTTGGTTTTTAAATTTTGTATAATCCCTCAGTCTTAAAGGCATCAAGTCAGGGAGCCGGGACTCTGCCTG